CAAAACGGATATGGATTGATGATCATTTATTTAACTACAAATACGATCTATAAGATCCTGCATTTTTATGAGCAAAAATGGATATTGATCGGTTCATTTATTCAATTACAAATATGATATAAATTTTTTGCTCTTAAAAAATAACCATGTATTGGTTACGTGATGGATTAAGAATAAAAAGTGGTCAAAATTTTAGGTTAGAATTAAATTTTACTGACTTGATTTTGTAAGGAACGTAAATTACCATTTTAAAAGTTAAAGACGAAAAAATTTATTTGACAAAATGCGAGAAACATTTTGAACAATAAAAATAGTTGATTTGGGACTCAGTTCAACATCAAAAAGAAATTGGCTAGAGAAAATACCAATTTTTATCTACCACGATTGAGCTATATAAATTTCACTTACCAGTAATTGTTTATAAAATTGCTTTATGTGACGTTCTGACTCTTCACTTTGTCCCCAATCAATTCTGGAACATGGACAAAATTTTTATATAGGTTTCCTTATCTTGGAACATCAAATGCCACACAAAAACGCTTAATCTTTAGAGATGAAACTGGCGGACCCCAAATAGATAACATGGAAGAAAAATTTTCCACCCCAGGTATACACCAAAATGTATAGGCAAACTCAATATTTTGGCTTAAGGAGACTATCCAATTCATGTTTGGAATCCAAATGGCAAAATCTCAAGGCTGAATCTTATTTAGTTTAACTACATTGTAAAGAGAACATGTAATGGTCGTAATCACTTGAAATCAAATGCATGATTCGCTATCACTTTTGTAATAAAGCGAACACGGATCTGGGTGCCTCCTTCAAGTTTTCAAAAAATAACAGATTCCTTTTGGTACTAGTATATCGATGTCAATGAAAGGCTTGCCTCTTTTAACCTTTAAGTACCAAAATCTAGTATACCATCCATACTTGAGTATTCTAATGCTTATGTTCCTGATCATAATCTAGAACTCTAATACCATTCAATTTCATGTCCGAAATCTGTCACAAATAGAAAAAAAAAATCTGTCACAAATTAAAAACATGAATTGTGTGCCACTTTATACAGGTTTCTTATACTGATGCAGACACAAAATTTAAGGAAAAAACACACAAAAATAAGGCTCAAATTTGGAGTTATTCATGACCTAGATTATTTTGAATAGTTGAAGTTCATTTAGGTACGTATGGGACATTTGCAATCATAATTTTTCTAAAATACATTAAATCCTTAATTATTGAAATGCTTAGTGTTTAGAGATGTATACGTCATCTAGTTCTCTATATATAATACCAACTAGTCGAAATAGTTAATATGATTAATCTTTTACATACTGATAATGTATATACTGTCAGCCCACTTGGTAAGGGGGCTTCTTAAGAGGGCTAAGAATCCGAAGCACAGTCAGGTTTGGATGAATGACAGTTATACAAAATTTGAATTTGAAATTTAACTTTTATACGTGTCATGGATTCAACCGTGATAGTATATATATTGTCAATATATATAAGATTTATTCTAGTTAATAACCCATGACGAAAGCTGTATATATGCTAGACTTTAAAGTATTGAAGATAGCTGTTTGAAATGCATTAATTAAGTGGATCTCACAAAATAATTTATCTTAAACTTGAATTTCATCCATCACTCATTCTTTTTTTTCCTCTTAGAAATTTTATGGAATGCATTGTTAGCTGGGACGGAACCAGAAATTTGACTTTGAGAGGCTAACTTTCATCAACATACAATCATTAAAGTCCAGTCAAAAGCTTTTAAAATTTTTTGTAGGAATGAAAAGTTTAATTTATACAGAACATTTTTGAAAATTTTCAAGGACTTCAGGGGCGATGACCCCTGCCCGCACGGCAGCTCCCCTCTGTTTTCGTCCTTGAAACGCCTGGGATTCCTAGGAAAACTACATGCCTATGACTTATAATTACACAGTTTTAAAATATTGTAGATTGAGAAAAAAAAAATTTAGCATGTAAAATTTGGATGATTTCAACTCTAGACGCCACCATGAATCAAAGTATGCCTCCCGATACCATAAGTTGTTTATAAGGATACTCGCATATCACTCACTGACATAGACTTTATATTGACAAGAAGGGAATTTTTTTCCTTTTTCATGGTAAATTGCCTACCATGATTTATCAACTTGTTATCATTCAACTTCGGTTTTTGCAACAATTTTATGATGACTAGCATATCAACGGTAAAAAAATTTAACGATCAGCCTCCTAAAGTTCCCTTCCCAATCCTTCCCACCCCCCAACCAAAAAAAATAAGGGAAAAAAATAAAGGTAAAAGGGAGAAAGGGCAAAAGAGAATTTGTGGTAAATTTTTGGTTCAAGAATGGTTGTTCTTGCCAATTAAATCATCTCCATTGAGCTTGAAGAGATGTCAGGAATCCGTTCTTAGATCAATTTTTGCCTAAGACCTCTACTAACCCGGTGATATGTAGGAAAATTAATCTTCCATAATAAGACTTGGTCTTATGAAACATGATGGCATGTCTTAGACGTCGAGCATGCTGATTGGAAGTAAAGAAAAATCAAGAAAAAAAAATCTTTTAGAATTATTTTTATCATTATCCTCCAAAAAGACAAGAAAAAGAAAAAGAAAACTTGTCATTATATAGCTACAAATGAACATAGCCGAGTCAAAAAACTGTTAGGTCAGAAATGAATATATTTCATAGAACTTTATCCAGAAATGCAATTTAAAGATTCATTTTCAGAGTTCTGATGAGCAATTTATTAGAATAAGTTCTTTGAAATAAAAAAAAGATACGCTCTTTCGAATTAAATGATGCATTTTATTGCACCAAGAATATGAAATATGGTGCATTTAGAGATTGAATGATTATAGTAGTTTCAAATTTCAGGAAAAAAAAAGTCAGTTTTCCAGTTTATTTTCAAGTCAGTTTTCCAATTGAAAGAGAAGATAGACTATTTTACGTTTGATGATTCCTTGATTTTCCATCGTCGTCCATTTTGAAGTTGACAAATGGGTTGAGATATCATTTATGTACTGCAGAATGTGGGACATTTGGGTTGGATCTTCTAATCCAAGAGAAAGTTTTGACTCAGTCAAAGTTAATATTAAAAGGTCCTAAGAAAAGAATTTTGGGTTAAAATATTTCTTCACATGCATGTATTTAGCACTTGAATCTCTGACTTTGATTTCCTTGAAAAGCCAAAACAAAACTCAAACTTTTGATCTAAAAACTTTGTTTCCCAATTTAATAGTTTTTCTTGTTTGTACCAGTGAAATTTTTGCATTATTGAACTATTTTTCCAATAATTAATAGCATAAAAATAAGAATTTGATAGTTTAGATCAGTTTTAAGTTTGAAAAGTAAACATGCTATCAAGAAATAATTTTGTTGCCAAAAAAAAAAAATTTTTTGCAATCTTTAACTAAGAAAAATAATCAAATCAATAAAAAAATCCTTCTTTTTGCATTTTGAAAACTTAATCATTGACATGGAATTATCCTCTGAAAAGTTAGTGTGATGCTTGAGATATTTGCAGTACATAATTAGGACTTATATCTTTTCTTTAAATATCATGAATGACTTTCTATACAGCTACTTTATAATGTAAGCATTCCATTGATTACAGTACCGCAGCTCTAGGAAAATGGAGTACCCTTTTGGGAACTGGGGAGAGTATAGTTTAGTAAGGTACAATTATTGTACTTGGTTAATAATTTGGTGTACGCTTACAATTACAAACTCGGACATGGTTGTACATATGTATTGAATTGGTATACATGATTAAAAATTATGAGTAGAACAAAGTTATATAAAAGTACACCATATTATGTCCAAAGTGCAATAACTAGACAATTTAACCACTGGACCTTTGGTTCAGTGGCCACCCTTGCCTCCCACCAAAAATGCCACATTTCAGTGGCTTGTCTCCAAAAAATCCAAGTGGGGTGTGCTGTGCACCCGTCTGGTCCGGTGGTGGTTCAGTCCCCTCCGGTTTATTCCTGGGTCTCCTTAGACCCGTCCCATTCCCCTTAGTATAGGATAGATTAGATTTATCGTCTCCGCCAAAAAAAAAAAAAAAACAATAACTAGACAATTGTACCAAAATTCTAACCACGTCTGCCTCTGGTCCCTTTTTCTGACCATAGTGATATTTTTTCCTATTTATTCATGAGGAAGCATGAAAATCATTATGACCTACCAATTAATACGCTACTAATTGAACAGTTAAAGTTCCCGCAAATGAGACTTTCTTTCTTCCCTTGAATAACGTCTACTATTTTTTAAGCAATGATATATTGTGTGTTGTTCACTTTCTCTTTAATTTCTCGACAATCACAATGGTTCTACAATATAAAAATTTATGTCACGAATTGGTATATTGTGAAAATTATATGAAAATCTCGCCTTAAAATTTAGAATTGTTCACAGGGCAAAAAAAGATTGCTATATTTTTTAAGCACAATTCTTTTTGATATTTTTAGTACATGAATCTTAAAAATCTGAAATCTAGTTAAAACTTTAAAGGTAGGTTATCATTCTAGATTGGCATGATAATAAGCTCATGGTAAAAACTAATTGGAACCCGTGTTTTAATAGCCGGACCTAACTGGCTGGTTTGGCTGGTCAAACCTTCAAATCGGTCATACCGTTGATTCGATTTAATAGTTAACTCAAAAATTCAATTATATGAGTCAAATTTGATCAAGAACTGATTGGATCGGTAAAAACTAAGAGATTCAATCGGAATTCACTAAATTTTTATTTTTAAAACATTATTTCAATTATTATTCAAAACTTAAAACTAATATAAATAAAAAATGATTTAAACCTTTGAACCAAAAGAACTGCGAGCCAAAAACTCTTTCAGTTCACTAAACTTTCCAGGCTGAGCTTTAAAATGCCGAAATGGAAAAGGAAAGATTCATAGTATCATATTTCACCGAGGGCCACACTTCGAGGACTCCTACTTGACAAAAAACAATGGTTTTGATTCTTGTATTGTTTAAAATTTTAAATGTTTTTTTTTTTGGCAAATCCCGTCCACGGAGTGGGGATGCCAGCCCCCTATTTTATTGATATAAATGAAATAGTACAAAGAGTTAAAGATATCCTCTGCAATGAGCTAACAATAAGGAGCACTACTCCCTTACAAATTGCCAACATAGAAAAGAGACCTCCCTACTGTCTAAATATATCGAAGCCCTAACTATTCCCAGGAGCTGAGGATACAAAGTGCAATATGGATCAGACAGCACTCACAAACCCACTAACTTATCTACTGACGAGTTCGTCTCTCTTACAACATGTGATATGGAAGCCAATAATGAGTTTATTAAAGCTCTTATGCTCCTCAGTGTATTGCACAAAGGCCATTTTGACGCACCCCCAACATTTAGCATACGAACCAGACTCTCAAAATCTACCACCACCAGTAGAGGTCCTTTGACTACTTCTTTACACAATTGAAGATCATGCAACAATGATAAGCTTTCTGCCCTCAAGACATTCATTTCCCCAAATTTCTTGTAAAAAACAAAAATTAAACGGCTTCCAGAGTCTCGGAGCAAACCACCCCCATATGCCCGATTTTGGGAGACACTAGCATCAATGTTCAACTTCACACAGTGTAGCGGTGGCTGCTTTCAAGAAACAGCATAAACCTTCTTTTTCCTTGATGATCAGACAGCCAACCGAGCCCATGGATCCTCATAGTCACCCTTAAACAGACACACTGAGAGCTTGTTTGCCAACCCCAGCTGTTCCACAAAACCGTCAATCAAGGAGATTACCCCATGAGCTTCAAAGCGTGCTCCATCAAAACGTGCTTTGTTCCTAGATTTCCATAGAAACCAAAGTACTACCACGGGAACAACAGCCCTTATGTGGTTATGCATTACCAAAGAATTTGAGCCAAACCACGACAAAATAATCGTAGACACCGAAGAGGAGTGGGACTCTAGAATTCCAAACCTCTTTTGAAAAGAACCTCATACCTAGGACCCGTAACAAAAAGGTGTACTAATGATTCTTCCTACGAGAGGCAGCACGAACATCTTGACACCAGTGGTATTCCACGTCGCTTCAAATTCACCTCCAATAGAACCAAATTGCACACTGCCTTCCATGCAAAGAAGGACATCTTAAGCGGTACAATATTGTTTCAAATAAATCCATCCACCAATGAAAAATTCCAACTCTGTCAAATATGATCCCAAGCAAACTTAATTGAGAACTCTTCAGAGGACGAACTCACCCAAACCATGCAATCATTTTGATCAGGATATAAGTTAACTTCCTATATTTGTTAAACCAAATGGATGCTTAACCAACACTTCAAGTGCTCGACATTCCAGCCCCTATCACCAAAAAACTCTACTAGCAGCATGTGGGGCGGATCATTGATAGGGATCAATTCTAGCAAGGGAGAGTTGAAAAGCCACCGATTATACCAAAAATCTACAAAACCTTTACCCACACACCATCTAATGCTGCTTTCCGCAATATTTCTAATGCTCTCCAAGCATCTTCACGAAGGGGGAGGCTTGAGGACTTGAACTTGAATAGGATGGCAGCCCTTAATATGCTTGGAGTGCATAAAATCTGCCCATATTGAGTATTTCTTCCACAAACACCACCAGAACTTGCAAACAAAGGCTGAACACATGTCTTCAAAGGAACGAAAACCCAGCCCACCACCTTCTTCTACTGATAGCAAGGTTTCTCCCAAGACATCCAATGAATGCCTTTTGAACGAGCATCCTTATCCCATAAGAAGTCATTACATATCCTGTCCAACTTGACCAAAATTGACCGCGGTGGGTCTAGCACTTGCAGTAAATACATAGGCATTAAGGTAAGCACATGCCGCAATAATATCAGTTTGCCCCCTGATGAAAGCAGCCTCAAACTCCAATGGAATAGACAGTCTCTCATCCTAGCTACAATAGAATCAAATAAAATACACGTGGTTCTGCCCTTTGATATTGGTGCCCCCAAATAAGTAAGAGGAATATGCTGCTACTAAAATCGTAGTTTCGAAACCACCACCTCACAATGCTCCTCATTAGCCCAGGTAGATATAATAAATGAACTTTTGTGTATGTTAATTTTTTGACCCAAGTAAGCTTGATAAGATTCCAAAAATGCCTCCAAACCATCCAAACCGCCCTCTAAACAATGGGTAAATATTAAAATATCATCCGTGAACATTGTGACGCCCCCACTTCTCCTTAAGGCGAACCAAAGGGTATCCGCGAAACGCCTGCCTAGCTCTCGCCAGGACTCAAGCAATTCCATTCAAGTTTATTACTGGACCACACAATACGAGTCAATAACTTAGATACAATAACTGCGGAAGCGTTCAAGTTTAATAAAAGTCATCCATTATCCAACCCACACATCGGGTATTCAACAACCATCATATATCCCAAATATACATCATGCTCCAAAAGTTACATTCGGATTCCAAAATACAACCCAAAAACCAAGACATAGCCAAAAGTAATAGAAACCCTAAACAAAAGCTCATCAGGAGGTTTTTTCCAGTACGTCTCCGAGTTCAAATCTGTTAAGGAAAACAAATCTATAGGGTGAGCAAAACGCTCGTGAGGCCAAGAACACACATGCAGGCACATAGTTCAGGTAACAAGCCCAAGTAACAGTTCAAGTGATAACTTGCAAGTAATTAACAATGCCAACAAAATGTAAACAGAAACGATTCAAGGATATGGTAGCTCTCAAGAGCTAAGTTCCACTTGCTTTGCCAGTTCATTCGTATATCTTCCCGTGATGACTCTCCGTCAACCGGGTTGATATTTCCAAATCGTAGATCACCATTTACTTCTCATCCATCCACCATACACCGCTTCGGGCCCGCACGACATTTATGAGGCGATACTCCACGAGTATGCCAAGCAAGATCTCTCCAATAAATCAAGCTTATCATGTGAATCTCATGGCTCACCGAGGTTCCCGACCAATCCCATGCCGACTCGAGTTCCAAGGTTGGCCTATGAGTTTGGGCGTCCCCCATGTGTCATGTAAGTGTCGAGGAGATTCACTCCAACGACGTATGCAGCCATAGCATACCATATCATGTATTCAAGCATTTGACAGGTCTAAGCATGTATTTCAGGTCATGTAAATCAGGCAAACCATGTTAAGCATGAGTCATTTGTTTCAAATGAGAACGAGTGCGATAAAGTACACACTCGACTCCATTTTTCAAAACCAAGTAGGCTAAGCATGTAATCAGGTAAGCCAAGTATGAATCAAGTCCATAGAGTTCAAGTAGTCATACACTTGACACTCACCGAGCAAATCAAGAAGAAATATTTTCTGGAAGTTCAAGTGTACACGGTAGGATCCTCTTGAAGGTCCTCGTGTGCGCCTGGGCAAATAATAACGTATTATCATTCATATATCCCAATTATCAAGGAAGATTGTACACTAGTACAATCTAAGGAAATTTCACGAAATCGAACCTCAATTACTCGTAAATCGAGGTTCAATTAGAGTTTCTTAAAGTATAGGAGCATTTGGGTTTTTTCTTGGAAATCGAGGTTAAAATATTTGCATAATGTCGAAAGAATAAAAAGTTCTTGGAAATCTCTATTTCCTTGAAAGTTGAAAAATTTCAGTTTTGATATGAATCTTTGAAAAATCGTATCTCACTCGATACAAGTCTAAAATTGGAAAAATTTATACCGTTAGAAACCTCTTCGAAATTGATAAAAGTTCTTAGAAGACATTGTTTCACGAATCTAAATGAAAGGTATTCAAAAATGAGTTTAAAGTTGCTGTCCCAGATCACCCAGGATTGAGCCGGGGTTGGTTTTTCGCTAACTTTGGAAATTCGGCAGAATTCACTCGTTGCAAACCAGCCCTTGAAATTTATAGCTCAATTAGAGGTGCAAGTAAGGTTTATGACAAAACAAACAGATCGAGCATCGGAGTTTTGAGCACCAAGATATGGTAGTTCAAAGTTGGGAAAAATTCAAGACTGTTACAAAATTTCCAGATTTGGTTCCGACTTTGGATCTTTTGTTAAGTGTCGAAACGGACTTGAATTGACACCAAATTGTGCAGTATGGTACTCCTATATGAAGGATATTTTTCTATCAAATTTTGTGGAAAAATACCTTCGGGAAGGTGGTTAACCAATCAACCAAAGTTTGGAAAAATTCTCAAGGCAATCTGCCCTTAATCCTTTTCTTCCCAAATCCAATTGTTTGGCTAAGAAAATCCTCCAATCATGGTTCATATGTGAAAGGAAAGTTTAAGAAACATTCATGGTACATTTGGTAGGTATTTAGTATCAAGAAATTCATTTAGTAAGACCACCACAAATGTCACGTCAAATCTGTCCAAATCCAAGGCTTTTAAGAACAAAACAGTCACCGTATCTTGATCATAACTCACTCAATTTAACTCGGATTTGAGCATGGTTGATAGTGTTAGAAAATACATGCATAGGGCTATAATTTCACAGAAGAAATCGTTTTAAGTTTCAGCATGCAACTAGCTCGAAATTAAGCCTAAAGTTGCAGCATCATCAAATCATTTCGGCAGAACGGCGAAACAGGGCAGCTGAATTCAGATGAGTGGTGCGGTTCACACACATGGAACCAGAACATGCATTATATACCGTTGGAAAGATGGGAACATCTAGTTTCAAATGCCACTAACAGCACTTGATTTCGACGACGGAGTACGGAGTTATGGATGAAATATGAACACTGGTCTGGATTACGACGAAACCGTTTTCCAGATTACTAGTTTTGGGAATAAATTCGTTTGACCAACCAAAACTCAGTATTTTTCAATGAAAATTTTTACACAACTACTACAACATATAAACAACACAATCAAGCCATTAAATCCTCAAATTTCTGCATCAAAGTGACCGAACAGAGCAAGGGCAAAATGGAAACTTTTTGCTTCAAGAGCTCAATACAGTTTCTGGCGATAATGCACCTCTAATCTACTTCCTTAAGCACTAATTCAACAATAAAACCATCATCAAACATCATTACAGCCATCAACTCAAAGTGGGAGTTCATAGAGCCCACATTTAACAATTTCCAACAATAATAAGCTATCCATAAGCATAATCAAGCTCTTAAGTGTAAGTTAGCCTTCATTGAACTAGATTTGAAGAGTGGATCATGGTTACCTTACTTGTGTGCTAAAAAGTCAGATTCTGGTGTTCAAAAGTCCCAAGAAAAATCGTGAGTGTGCAGCTCCTTCTTTGTCCAAGTGATTGTCCAAGTGATGAGCTAAACGTATGTGAAGTTTTGGTTGAATCTATGGAGGTTTGGTAGTGATTTTTGTGAGCTTTGCAGAAGGAAATGGTGAAGAGCTGCGGCTGCAAGCTATCCGTCCATTGCAGCTAGAAGAACTGAAATGTGGTTCTGATTCCTTTGCATACAAAAGACGCTTGACGTCTAATATTTTAAGGACGTAAAATTTAATTGCAACTAGTGCCCTACTCGCGCGTTTTGTGTTCAATTTCCCTTAAGTTTGTTGCACTAGTGCACTAAACCTCTAGGGCACTTACATTCATATAAATTTTATTCATTCTTAATTGTCCCAAAATAATTGTCCAAAGTCCCTCAATTAAGCGCGCACGTGAAAACACGTATTTCCAATTTAGGCGCAATAAAATGAAACCTTCGAGAAATTCTTATAACGATCGTACCACTAGCTACCACTTGTGTGCTTAAACCTAAAATTGTCTATTTTAGGACCATTGTATATGTCTCAAATTTTTGAACTTATTTTATTCCCAATTGGCTAAAGTGTTTAGACACGTTTTCACTTTTTCACTAAACAAGCTTCTAAGAAAATAATTTTTTGAAACGAGATACTTTAAAAATATAACGAAACTATAAAACCATGTACTTAGGTCTAATAAGGATAGAAAATAATATTCGGGGCAAAAATCCAAATAGATGATTAATTGAGCCAAAATTAGGGATTTTTAAAAAATAATAATTTTACGAGTCCTCACGTGAATTGAGTATTAATTCCTCCATTAACCTTTCTTAATCTATTATTGATCGTTCTTAATTCTCCAATAAATAATACACTCTCGATTCAAGTATGGCCTGGAAAAACGTGCACCCGTCGTTCCGGACTAAACAAATTTTTGAAAAGCGAATTTTTCAACAAAACACTTTAAAAATATAAAGAGGCGTCATTCCATATAAATGGATTTAAAATGGTCGAAATAAATAATTCGAAGAAAATGAGTGAATAATCATTTAAATATTCCAGTAATATTCTATAAAAATAAAAAAAAATTTCGGGTTCTCACAAACATGAGGTAAGGTATTCATAACCTAGAAGAGACAAAGAACCGACTCTCATCTTGACAAAACAAGTGATGCAATCCCCTACCTAAGAACTCTACAACCAGCAAAAACAAAGCTAGAGAGAGCGGATATCCTTGGTGAACTCCCCTCGTCGCTTTAAAGAATCACGTTGGAAATGCATTGATCAACACTGAAAACCAATTATTCAACAATGTTCTAAATATTAGGTGCACCACCCACTCATGAAGGCTGAATTGCCGAAGCATGAAAATAAGGAAGTTCCATTCTATCCTGTCATATGCCTTCTCCATGTCAAGTTTCAGCATCAAGTTCGGGCATCTCACTCTCCTATCGAGATCCAATGCCATTTCCTGCACAATCAAAATGTTGTCAATAATGCTCCTGCCATGGACAAAACCTGATTGCCAAGGTGAGATCAGTTTAGGGAGCAAAAGATTAAATCAGTTTGTTAAAATTTTTGAAATAATTTTTGAACTTAGATTGCATAGGCTGATAGACCTGAATTCTTGCCATTTTGTTACTCCTGGCACCTTTGGAATTAAAACTATCAATGCACTAAAAAACCCCCTAGGTTGAGATGCCCCTTTGAAAAACTCCTGAATTGCTTCTAATAATTTCTTTTAAATAATCGACTGACACTCTTGATAGAAACCTGCTCTGAACCCATCTGGACCTGGAGCACTATCCTTTGACATCAAAAAAACTACTTCTTTCAATTCATGCAACAACAGCAGCTGTTGTAAACCCTCATTGTCCTCTTGACTCAATGTCAACAGTGAAAAATTCAAGATAGGGTCAGCTCTACCTTCACGCTCCGATGTAAACAGCTTTGCATAGAAATGGGCAGCCGAACCTTTGATACTTTCTTCATCTTCGATCCATTGACCTACATCATCCTTGATTCTCGATATAAAATTGAAACTTCATTGCTATTTAACAACTAAATGGAAAAATTTGGTATTCGCATCCCCCTGTTGGATCCATTTGATGGTCGATTTCTGTTTCTAGTATTCACACTCTATGGCTAACGCATGCACATGTTTTACCCGAGCCTCCCCTAATCCCATCTTAGACATATCATCACGGCAGTATCAAACTCCTTATATCATTTTTGCAAATTCTCTTCAGCTTCTATCACAGCCTGGAAGATGTCTCCAAAGGACTGCTTGTTCCAACCACGAAGTTTACTATTTACATTCAATAATCTCTAAAAAAAAACACCAATCATGGACAGTGCTACAGTGCCTATAGTTATGGTAACGATATTAGGGAAACCTGCTATTATAGGTTTCTATTACCTTTAGTGACAGATCAAATCTTTTAGCAACTTTTTAAATATTATATTAAAATAATTAATATTAACTTTAGTAAGTTTTTAATTAAAACTAGTAAGTATATGCCTGAGAAATAAGTTTTAGTCAGAAACAAAAATTTACACCTTGAGTAATTTAATTTACTTATTATTTGACAAAATTTACTTATGTTTAAATTAAACTTACTAATACTAAAAGTAAAAAATGTACATATTTAAGTAAAAAAAACGGTTTTGGGTTCCTGAAAACGGTTTTGGGTATCACCTTTCTCTTTAAAGTCATCTACCTTCTTCTTATTCAGTTCTCAGTTCCAATGATACGATTGAATTCTCAGGCAAAGGTTTCCACTTTGGTTCACACTTTCTCTTTGTTACAATTGAATAAATCTTCTCACTTCAAAATTTTCATCTTTAGTTCACACTTTCCCTCTATCCTTTCTCATCGTTCGGTTGGGTTTGAGTGCTGCCGTATGCAGACACAACAAAAGGGTTAGCGACGGTGGTAGCCAGCCAAAGAGCATATGAAAAATAGCAGTGACGAAGTTAGATCATCATGTTCTCTTGAAATCGTTTGATTATATTGCTGTAATTTATTTATATTTCATTTGTTTTGTTTGTCAAGATTTTCTTGGGAAATCAAGGCTGAGAATTTGAAGATTTTATTGCAATTTTGGGGCCGAAAATGTCCGTTGAAACATCTAGGAAATTGTTGTAGTTTTGATTGTCTACGGGTAAAATATGCTTAATAGCCATGTGAAACATCTAGGAAAGGACTTGAGACCAGGCGTTTAAGTTAAATGTGATTAATTTGTGAATGCATATAAGATGTTTGGTGAAATGTCAAAGAGAAATTTGTATGTTGTGATTGCTACTCTGTGCGGGTGAGAATTACTAATATATTAGTAACTCAACATGAGCTTTATAACTTGAATTCTTCAGGCAAGAGAGATTTCTCCCGTTTTGGAATTCTAAGTTGATACGCTTGATGGAGCAAATGTTATTGAACTGAACTGATCTAGAATCATTGTTGGTAATCTGTTGTTTCTATGGAAATTTATTATCAGCCTCTTGAATTTTTTACTCCATGTTAACGTCTGCAATGCCACGGAAATTTGGCCATCTATGGAAATTTATTATCAGCCTCTTGAATTTTTTACTCCATTGTAACGTCTGCAATGCCACGGAAATTTGGCCATTATTACTCTTGTAAATCTGTGTTGCAGAAGCAATTCTTATTACTATCCTATGATACATGTAGATTTTGTAGAATCACATCTTCCCTCTTCTTCAGTCAGGAAAGGAGAGAAAATTCATAGAACAGTTTCCAAATGTAAGTAGTTAAGATTTCAGAAATAAGAGGGATCACTAAAAGAGAGATGATATTTCAAATACTAAACCAACCTAATAATATCAAGGAGCAGGACATAAAAATCAATGTATATTCATTTCTGGTTTGACCAAAGCTTGGACAGAGCAAGTTGTAGCATCCTGTTGATCAAAAATTATTCCTCTGTTCATTGTTGGATGGAAGACAGACCGATAAATACATGATGTCATATTTTAGCTGCATTCTGAGGACTCGAGAGAAAGTGATTAATTTAATTTTTAACTATCAACAAATGTGGGATGCTTACAGTCCAATAAATGAAAAAACTTGTTCTTTTATCTCCATATAATTCTAGAAAAAAACCTGTTGTCGTCCAATTAAGACACACAAAGAAATTAATAGAATGATTAAGTGATCATTTTATTTTTGCTATTTTGAAGAAAATAAAAAAAGGTGTGTGTAATAGGTGCCCTAATAAAAGTGGTTTTATGTGATAGTTTCTTTAAAAAAATAAATTAAAATTAAACATGGACAATGTTGAAATAAAAGAGTACAAATAAATATGAACGTACGTAATCATATGATAGTTTTGGTGTAAGTTAAGTTCACTAATGGATGTTCATTGAGTGCCTATGGTTATAAGTTTGCACTACTTGAAAGAGTTGTGATCATGTGAACAACTATACTTCGTTAAAAACTTACATGCCACCCTGCTTCAATGACGTTTAAATCTAAATCGCAAGAGCCTCCTGTAATCCAAAGCTGAGATGAGCTAAATTCATTGGGTTTCTGTCAACTCGGGGCTCCCATATATTCATGATTGCCTTCGCTCCATAATACTTTTCTTCTCAAACTACTGCAGCTACAGACTAAAAAATCCCACACGAGACAGAAAAGTTTAGGGAAAAATAGAAAAAAGAGAAAACGAGCAGAAGAACAAGAACATTGTTTCAAATTGGCCCTCAAACATTAAGCATGTTTCTCATCGACAAAGGTGTTGGCTTATTTCTAGCAGTTAAATCTTCAGTACGGATAATGCATTTGTATAGGCATTAATGTGGGCATGCAATCCTTCATTAATCCAAAGTCATGTACAAAACACTAGCTTGTTAGGAGACGAAAAGTATTCAGGTACATTTTTCCTTCTTCACGCCTAAGTTTTATGTTATTTATTTGCTATGATTATGTGTTGTTGTGGCCTTTTTTTAATACAAATTTTGTGATGGTTTTGTAGTGAATGAACTAGATTTCAGCCAAGACCATTAAGGAATTTTATTCTTGAGAGAGTACAAATGTTTTTGCACGTCTTTGCTCAAAGCTTTTAGGATGATTTAAGTTTCTTCGAAGGTAGTTTAATGCGTTTTGATTGTAAATCTGAACATAATCTCCTTAGTTTGCAATTTCTGGTGTTTACTTGTTTTAA